CACGGGTTAGACTCTTACAAAATCGAGTGGTTCTTTCTCTCATGGGTCAATTTTGGTTCTGAAAACAAAAGTTCTTTGTTTCAAAATGGGAAGTCTTTAGTAATCATTGGCGCTGTCTGAAAACCATTGATTACTAGGCGGCCAAGTTTTGTTGATGAAGGTTATCCCTTTTCCCTTCAAATTTGATGCTATTTTAGAGCAGAAAAATATGAAATTTGAATTTAGTTTCTCTTGAAGGCTTAAATCTCTTTCCATCCCGCACGGGTAAGGCAAGGTAAACATGTTCAGCATCTATGGCTCCCAAATACCATCCACTTAGCATCTATAGGAGAAATAACTAGAGTAAATGGTTACCAATAGCAAATTTTAAACTACTTTTTATCTGTGATGCAAATACCATTAATTAGAGCCAACTAGTGTCCTAACAATGACTGGACGATTCAACAGTCCTCAACAACACACTGGAATAATGAAACCAACACATCTGATTAGCTTACAGTCAGGAGATATGCTACAAATTATACAGCACATTCTTGCTCATACAACAAGCCAGGTTATGAAGTCCTCAGTCATGAAAATTCATCTTTTAGATGTACCTTTAAAAAAGTTTTTCAAGTAAAACGTTTCCAGTATTTTTTTTCAGTTCCAAAAATTTTGTCAATTATACTCCAAGTTATGCTGTGCATTATTTTTTAAATTCAGCACATAATGTCAGCCTCAAAAATTAAACTCTATATAAAGAAATCTAAACAAATCTTGACATATTAATGTTCCTTCAAGTGTTCTTTTTTCTTTTATTGGACTGGAGGGAAGATTAATGCAATAGGTCTCTACTTAATGTAGGCAGCCTCACTGGTAAAGCTAAAGAACCCGATCCCATCAACGTGTTGACCAACGCGGCCGTCAGTCGGTCGACAGTTGGCCGACTATCGGCCGACTGTCGACCGACGCGTTGGTGGGATCGGCATTTTTACCTTTACTGCTTTATTTTACACTTTGCGGCTCAATTCTTGTAAGGCTATCTTGAGCCTGTTTACATGATTCATATTTGATAATTCATTTTTGACCGGGAAAGTGACACCACAGAGTCAAGCAAATTCGTCTTTTCTCTCTACTTGCAATATGCAGTAATTTGACTAAAAACTTTCTTTTTCTTTCCTATGACGACGGATGACCGGCTATACCGGGATAAAAGATCCTGAGGGCTTGTATATACAACTGAAATGATTTTCTTGTCGAAATGCTTCGTGACGATTATTTTCGAGAGCAACACTCGTGTTTAAAGACACCTTTGTTTCAGTTCTTTACCAAGGACTACAAAGTCATTCTCCTCACGTATCATCAGCAGTTGTTCTTTTGCAAACCCTTCTTTTTTTCTCTTTTCTATCTGAAAGTCACGTTCACTTACTATCTTGCACTCTGTTTTTTTTTTCTTTCTGTGGGTTTGTTTTGTTATTATCTCGCTCACTGTCAGTTCTCTTTTCTTTTTTATTTTCATTTGTTCTGTTTTGTCATTTTCCCTGTTAGTTAGTTACGTTACCATATCGTTCACAATTTGTTTTAGGTATTTGACTGTTACGTCATTTCCCGCTGTAAAAAATGTTTTCTTCTCTCTGTTTGATCATCACGCTAGTACTTAGTGCATCGCTCTGTTTGATCATCGCATTGGTACTTAGTGCACTCTCTGTTTGATCATCGCGTTGGTAACCTAGTGCACTCAAGTTTGTTCCCTTCTCTACACGACTTGACTGTCACGTTTTAGTTTCTGCACTGTTTTCGTCTTTTTAGTTTGTTTGATTTCTTTTTTTTTCGGTGGTGCCTTTTGCACTGCGCTTAGTTTTTATCTCTAATGTATTCTGATATGAGAGGATTGAAAATTAGTTTGTGGTCGCGACGTGAACGAATCTTTACCAAAATTCTCGTATTTCGTAACGCTGACCCAATTTCCTGCGTTTAATTTTCTTATCCTGTTCATTTTAGTCTCCTACTGATATACCGAATCATTTCGACTTGCTGTAGGGCTGTTCGCTATAAGAAATGTCAATTTTTGTGTAACATTTGTAAGAGTCATATAAAAAAATCAACCGGGCAAAAAAAAATTAAAACAAATCAAATCCGGTCTACGGGTCTACGGGCCTATAGGACTCCCTATAGACCACTTTCATAAATGCTGCCGTATAAATATTCTTTTGTTTAAACTTAAATTAGCCCTTCTGGCCTCGCTTGAAATAATGTATTCTTTTGAATTTTGTACTGGAGAACGAGGCCAGTAGAGCTAATTTACATTTAAACAAAAGGATATTAATCCGGCAGCCATTTATGAAAGTGGTCTATAGCCTGGCTGCGCCACTGCTAATGGATCTAGTGAGAGAATAGCGGCCATCGGCCGAGTAACCCGCTTTCGATTTATAATTAGCGATGTTTCAAAGGCATGCAAAAACAATTGCTTGATTCATTCCCTATTCACACTAAATATTAATCCTGCTTTAAACACGTTTAGTAAGACATGCATATTTGAATTCTTATCTTCATTTGAGCTGCTTAAACTGGTGTTTGTTGACTTCAAATTCAGCCAATTGAAAATAAAAAATTTTGCTATTACTTGAATCCTACAGAAAGTTCAGTTTTTCTGTCCTCTGATTCTGTTATCATTGAGTTAAACTCGGTTTAACTTCCCATCTTTTGCTTGTGTCAATGAGGTGTTCAACAAAATTTTAAAAATGGCTGCGCAAAGTAATACCAGTGTCCACTCGAAGACAATGTGAGGAAGGAACTACTTTTTGTACAGGATCAGTCCTCACCCTGTTCCTTCTCTGGCACCGCATTGTTGTCCTCTTCGAGTTCTTCTCAGCCTAAAACAACAATATATTTGTCAGTATTTCCACTTTAAAGTATACTGGGTAAAGTGTACTTATAGGATTACAGTTCCTAAGACGTACAGCTAAAATAGCTTTCTTCTTCAATATCATCGCGCATGATTTTACCGGAAAACTTTCCAAATTGTTGTCGATCATACATTCCTTGATTCGAAAGTCAGTTTAAGATTGTCCTTCAAATATCTAATGTTAGTAATGTTTCTCAGACTGTTTTCGTTGTAATAGCGTCTAGCAACGTGTCGTTAACTTGAGCAATTATTTCTGAATATCTTTCATACAAAAGCAACTCTCATTTGAGACCAATTTACAAAAACCACTGATTCACCGAAATCATCCGGCTCAAAGCGCAAGACAAAATCAGCCTCCCCTTCTTGGCATCTTGTAGATAAAAGACAAAGACAAAATTAAAATCAAATGTTAAGAAAAACTGTCCACACTTAAGTCGCCCGAACAAGCAACTAGAATTACTCTCAGAGACTGCTCATTGGAAACAAACTTACTCTCTTTTCGTAAAATCAAACGTCACGTTATCGCCTATCAGCACAAACGGAGCCCATTGGCAAGGTTTGGGAAAGCTATTGTTTCTCAACAATTGAACGGCCTGGTGAAAAGATTCGCTAACGCTTTCTCCACGAGCAAGGTTTTGGTAAAAATGCTTCATAAGCTTCGCCGTCTCTTCGTCTTCCATGGCCCACGACGCTACCAACACTGAACGTGCACCAGATGCTAAGAATGCTCGAGCGATTCCAAGGACTCCTTCCTTTTTAATAGTTCCACGCCCACTGTGACAGTAGCTAAGTACTACCAGTTTAGCTCGCACTTGAACTCCTAAAATTCTCGATATTGTCGGAAGGTAGTCTTCCTTTTGTGGAATACTGTTAGTTGTAAATCGAGGGGATAGGGCAATCTCTCCTCTCTCGGCATTTCCATGTGCGGTAAGATGTATTAGACTCACTGAAGGTATTTCTCGAATAACTGCCTGCTTTATTGCCCGCCTTCTTGACAAAGGCTGAACGCGTAGCACTTGACCAACCATCTCTGTTTCCTTACTAGCACAAAACAATGCCTTAAAGTTACGAACACTTCCACCGTAATGCACTTTGCCAGCCGTAGTATCACCCACTACCAGTGCACCAGTTTTATTGTGGTAGTCTGCGGGACCTTCTTGGATGAGCCGGAGAGTCGTCAGGAAAGGGACGACGCAGATTCTTTAATTCTCTGATAAATACTTTCTGGCTGTTTCATCACGCAAGGTAGCAAGTGGTAATCGGTACAAGAAATGATCTGGCTCAATGACAATTTCAGCTTCCGTTAGCAAATCTGTGGCAGGAGCGATGACTCATTTGCAACAGAGGTAATGAATTTTTTCGGTATCTTTGGTTTCGTCACCTCGGAAAGTTCCCCGGCTCTTTTCATGGAGAGATGTCGTCACGTTGTCATTTAGAGATCGATCTTCACAATTCGCTTTGGGTAAAACGCCAAAGCCGGCGGCGCTCTTCTTGAAAATTCCTTCCATATTGTACTCTTTCTCAGCCATAGTAGTGCTGTATTTCACTTCGTCGGTTGCTCGAAAGCAAGTGTCTCCGTTTGCCTTAAAAACCCAGAGAAGAACTTGCCGCTCTCCGTACGGAATGTACAAAATAGCATAGTTACTTTCTCTTTCTCTCTTCACGACGTCTTCAATCCCGAACTATGACAGTGGATCAGCTGAGATGTGGCTTTCAACAGAGAACTTGTTTGCCACGAACTCTGCGCGGACTCTAGCTCGTCCCAGCCCCTCGACCTAAAGAGCATCTCGGAGTTTTCCAGTATTGCAAAGCAAGCTGGTGAGCAACTTGTAAGGAAAAGTGTCGTGCGTCTCTAACAGAGATATTTGAAATTTTTCATTTTCTTTCAGAGAGTTCCTCATTTGTTCATATTTCCTGATGCATTGAAGAAGATATTGCACTGTCTCTACCTTCAACCGTGTGGTACAGAGAAGGCTTCGAAACTCTATCAATTTATGACCAATTTGGCTGCTTATGAAGGGAGCTTTTCCAAAGTAATCCTCTACCTCGTGACATTCACCGACCCAATGAGACATTTTTCCTAGATTGAGGTACATTATATATTGCCTCGTTAGAATTAACGCCACATTCTTTGAAGATGCCAAGTGCCTTCTCCTTTCAGTTTGTCATTGAGGAAGGCAAACACACTTGCCAAACCCGTAAGAGCACATGCTTCAGCTCTTGTGTTACCAATCGATTTACTGATGTCGAGTGATTTGTTGAAATATTGTTTAGCTTCTCGATATTTATGAAGCTGAGAATAAACATTCCCCAGGTTATAGTATCCAAAACTTTCATTACCTCTTTCTCCGAGTTCCGATGCGATGAAAAGTGCTTTCTTGTAATATCTTTTAGCCTTCTTATATTCGCCAAGGGATTCAAACATGCTTTCGAGGCTCCGGTAACATACTCCTTCCCCTTGCCTGTCGTTAATTCCTTTGCTGATAGTAAGTGCTTTCTCGTGACATTCTTCAGCCCTCTGATATTCGCCAAGGAATATATACACGGTTCCAAGACCATCGTAACTTCTCCCGTAGCCAATTACTATTGCGATGTCAAGTGCTTTCTTGTGACATTCTTTTGCCTTCTGATATTCGCCAAGGGATTGAAACACAGTTCCAAGGTTTCCATAACTTGTTGCTTCTCCTTGTCTGTCGCCAGTTTCAATCGCGATGGTAAGTGTCTTCTCGCAATATTCTTTTGCCTTCTGATAGTCACTAAGGGACTGAAACACAGCTCCAAAGTTTCCATAACTTGTTGCTTCTCCTTGTCTGTCGCCAATTTCAGTCGCGATGGTAAGTGCTTTCTCGAAATATTCTTTTGCCTTCTGATATTCACCAAGGAATTGAAACACAGCTCCAAGGTTTCCATAACTTGTTGCTTGTCCTTCTCTGTCACCAATTTCAATCGCGATGGTAAGTGCTTTTTCACGATATTCTTTTGCCTTCGGATATTCGCCAAGAGATTGAAACACAGCTCCAAGGTTTCCATACCTTGCTGCTTCCCCTTCCCTGTGGCCAATTTCAGTCGCGACGGTAAGTGCTTTCTCGCAACATTCTTTTGCCTTCTGATATTCGCCAAGGGATTGAAACAAGGTTCCAAGATTTACATAACTTGTTGCTTCTCCTTCTCTGTCGCCAATTTCAGTCTCAACGGTAAGTACTTTCTTGCAATATTCTTTTGCCTTATGACAATCGCCCAGGAATTGAAACACAGTTCCAAGGTTTTCATAAATTGGTGCTTCTTTTTCTCTATCGCTAAATTCAGTTGCGATAGCAAGTGCTTTCTCTAATGTTCTTTTGCCCTCTGATATTCGCCAAGGGATTGAAACACAACTCCAAGGTTTCCATAACTTCTTGCTTTTTCTTCTCTGTCCCCAATTTCAGTCGCTATGGTAAGTACTTTCTCATGACGTTCTTTTGCCTTCAGACATTCGCCAAGGGATTGAAACACAACACCAAGGTTTCCATAACTTCTTACTTCTTTTTCTCTGTCGCCAATTTCAGTCGCGATGCTTAGTGCCTCCTTATGATATTCTTTTGCCTTCTGATATTCGCCAAGGGATTGAAACACAGTTCCAAAGTTTCCATAACTTGCTGCTTCCCCTTCCCTGTGGCCGATTTCAGTCGCGATGGCAAGTGCTTTCTCGTAATATTCTTTTGTCTTCTGCTTTTCACCGACGTTAAAACAGATAAATCAAGTCTTTGGTAAGCTGCTCCCTCATTTTCTTTATGGCCAATCGTTTTCATGATGTTGAGAGCGCTTTGAAAAAGTTGCTTCGCCTCATCAAACCGAACTTGCGCTAGACATTTGTCTCCTAGTTTTGCAGTTACTATTCCAGCCTGGTGAAACCATTGAATAAGGTCGGTGGTATATCTTGCTGCATTTGTGTAACCAGAGATGGCACAGGATGCATTGAATAATGTTTCAGAGATATCACGGTAAATACCAGAGTCAATATTTTGTAGTAGATATACACATTCATTACACAACGCTGTCGATTGTAGGCCACAATCAGTCTTGAGAAAGAATATGGTGACAGTAAACCTATCCGGACACTTTTCAAGATTTCTTCTAGGTTAGTCATCGCGGCTCTCTGCTGAATATGAAGAAAATGTCCTTCGACTTGTCAGAAGAATACAAAAAAAATTTAAGGTTGGAGTGTTTTGCAGCTGTTCTTTACAGAGTTCTTTGTTGTCGCTCTTTTCAAAAAAATCTGATCACAACGTTTGCTTTTCATTTCATTTTAAGGTTTGACTTAAGTAATTTTGGAGTAGATTTGGGACTGATTATCAAAGAAGTTTCCCCGAGATAGGAGGGTGACAAAGGGTCTTTACGCGATGCAAAGGAGGATTTGTCGGGTATCCCATTAGCCCTTGCGCGTTATTATCGATAAGAAGGTGTCCCATTGCATCGAATTCGAGTGCACGCGCTGGAGAGTCGACTGAGTTTTAAACGGCTGTTTGTCCTTATTCAGGAGCACGGAAGGCGATTTGAACGGTTTTATGTATTCTTGTAACAGTTAAGTTGACTTATGCACTTTAGTACTTGAACTTGCTCTTCTCTAAATGGAAAAAAACGCCTTTGTTATGAGTGGTATGCACGACTGAGTGGCTTTGTTTATGCGCTTTACTTATNTGGGATGTTGTTGTCTCCTTCATATTCGTCATATGGTCGAATATCCGAAGCGGCAAGAGACCGATTTTCGACGCAATCGAAGTCGAAGATTATAAGCACTGAACGTCTTCGATCTTCGCTTTCATCCTCTAGCTGCTTGGGTAAATTGAAAGAATATCACATTGAGAAGCCTGGAAGTCTCGGACAACAAGCCAAATTGGAAAGTTTGATGTAAGTCTAACTATCCAAATCCAAGCAGTTGACATAAATCAGTGGCGAGCTCAAGGACATTTCGCTGTTGATCTCAACTACCTCCATCTCGACTGAGTGATTACGTGACTAGAGCGAATTGATAACATAGTTCGAAGCGGGGAATTGTGGGATACCTGACTAATCCTCCTTTACGCGATGCGTGATTAAGACCAAAATTAGTGTGTGACGCGTGTATTTTACTGAAAAGCGCGCGACCGTGATTCGAAATTTTTGAACCAGTGTGAACCGTGGTTTGCCTCCTCAAATATACGTGACTATGAATGTTTTCATCCATTTCATGAAAACCCTTAAGATTTCCCTGAAACTTTGCACACGGGAGGAGAAATTTGAAGGTTTCACTTTTAAATTAGTAATACCTGAATCGCTGTTTAAGATATATGTGACGCGTGAACTTTTCTAAAGTTTGTGCGTAAAACGGGATCAGGCCCCCCACACTCCCCCTTCCCCATTCCCCCTTCCCCCTCCCCCTCTGCCTATTTTTGTACCTCAATAGAGCAGCCACTAATTTACCAATCGCATTAAATTCGTGTTCAACTTATTGATTATTTATTGTTTTCATGCTAGTCAATTCATTTTAACAGAATCTAATCATAACTAACTGATTCAAAGTGAGGGTGTTAATGAGCAGCATAAGCCGGCAAACATTTGAATTCACCCTCAGGCATTTATTTTATTCCTTTTTATTCAACTCTTAACGACAGAAAATATCTTGAATTATCTGGAACATTATGGTTTGTGGGGCTTCTACTAAATAGACACTGATAGGACGGAATGATTATAATAAGTGCCTCACAGTTGTCCTCGCCAAGGATGAATAGCCGCTGAAACAGGAGAGAACTCTCCTGAATTTACGTTTTATGCCGAGGAAGCAGGCTTTCTCGAACTCCTGAAATTAACTGAGGGCTTTTACTTGCTCAGTACGCAGTTTTTAAGTTTTGGGAAAAATATTTTAACTTTTCTTAAAGAGTGTTATTTCTTTAATATTTAGCCGGTGAGACGATGTAAGTGCAAACCATCCTTTGTTTCGCTGCGGATAGGAAGTGGCGGAACAATTTTAATCGGCCTATAAAGGAGGTTAGACTTTCCGCCAGGCTTCATGCATACACGAACTTCTTCGCACGCATGCGCGCCTTTATTATACCTCAGCTGAATGAGTAAATGAATTTGGTAAGATCTTTGTAGGATTAAAATTCTAGCCTTTAAGCTTTTCAGCTTTCAGAATTAAAGATTAATTGGACAAATACAGAAGATATCAACCAGCTTTTACCTACCTGAATATAAGATTAAGCTTTTCGTTAAAACATATTGTTGATATTCCAGTGTTGAAATTGACAGTCATCCAGGAGGGAGTAGGCTTTTTTTGTTTGCTTGTGTCTTTTGATAACTCTTGCAGTCAAATAATTCATGGCAGTATCATACAAAAGCCATCCAATTAACTTTCAAAAAGCAAGGACTTTATCTGTACTGAATTGCATCGATGCATGATTCTGAATCGAAGGAAATCAATTTTTCTGACATTGATCCAGAAATATCCATCGACGCGACATAAATGTTGTGTTGCGTCGCGTTGCAGACAAATTTCAGGGACAAGCACTTCATGAGAGAAAATTGCAATCCACAGTAATTAAGAAATGTTTAACATGCAGCGTGCAAATGATTGGCTTCTTGAGTGCTTAGCAAACCTCCCACTGCATTCATAAATTTACCCTAACCATTCCTTTATAATATTGAGACTTTCAAACATCTTTCGTTTCGTGTAGACAAAAAGAAGCTGATTCGCGCTTTCGTTTTGAAGCGTTACTGTAGCTTTGAAGGTTACAGATGTATGGTGACCCGTTTATTTTCGTATTAGTTGCCAGAGGAAGCAAGTCAAACTAAAAAACAACTACAGATTTTTTTAAATATAGAATAACATTTGAGAGTTCAATGAAATGTAACTTACAATTCGTAGGGCATTCCATGCATCTTATAGATCTTTACGTTATATCTGGCTGACCGTTATTTTAAATATTGGATTCGTCGCGTCTTTAAATAAGAAGAAGGGTTGGTCCCCAGACTCCCTGGGACAACGCTCTGGCGCCAAAACTATTAAACACTAAGTGCAAATCACTCCGCCCGAGTGCGGAGTGATTTGCCAAATTTATCGGAGAGGACACTCTTTATCTTAGGAAATCCCAGTTCTGTGTGGTTTCCTTTACGTAACCTTAGGCACCCAAAACATTTGTTCCATGGTCTAACCTGCATACAATGGGGTATCCCCGAAGGCAGGCAAATCGTCGAAAGGCCATAAAGAATGCATCTGAGGTTTTATTAGTGACCAGTTCTAGATGGATCGCACGTGATGTCATACAGGTGAAGATGATTACTTGGGCCTCTTTTAGAGTCTTGCGGCCAAGCTTAATCTGTATTGGTCCGAACATGTCCATGGCAGTGTTTGGAAATGCCGGGAAGCCAGCTGCTACTTTTAGGTTTGGAATCTGTCCCAGGAGCTGGTTGAGGGGCCTTTTCCGTAGTTTTCTGCATGTAACACACTTTGAGGTGATGGTCTTAGCCATTCTGCGGAGTCCAATGATCCAAAATCTTTTTCTGTCCTCGTGCATTAAACTCTTATAGCCACAGTGCCCACGTCTTTCGTGGATAGCACGCAGAAGCAAGATTACAAAAGGGGTGGTCTTGTGGTAAAATAATAGGCTTTCTCAATTCTTTAGGGAGAGATCTGACAACCTCAAGGCGGCCATGCGCATGAAGGAGGCCGTCTTCACCCTTCTTTGCCACCAGTTTCTTATCCAATCTCCCTTCGTCCACGGGAAATTGACTCCACTTCAGAAGACGGGCCTCGGCAGCCTTCAGTTCCGGAACTGAAATGGGTCCTGACTTCGGGTTCATTTTTCGTGCGTTGCGAATAAAACGACGGACGTAGGCAAGAGTTCTTCGAATTTTGGAGTACCTAGAACAAGTCTTCAGCAAAAGTTATAGGATAGGATTTTCTTCAGATTCAGGCTGAATTAGTTCAGGGCATACTTCTGCGAAAGCATTATAATATTTACTGGCTTTTTTCTCTTTTTGAAATGCTTTCTTCTCTTTTAATGCTTCGGGGTCGTCCACGTAAGCGTTAACTTGGGTGTGGTCTTGAAAGTTGGGCCATTTTTCTTCTGGCAACTTTAGAAAGGATGGTCCCTCCGACCACTTCACGAGATGATTAAGATGGATTCCTCTCGTTAGAGCATCTGCAGGGTTATGGTTAGACTTGATGTAGCGAATTTGGTCTGCCCCAATTGACTCTTCCTAA